AAAATGACGTTGTGGTGGGATTTTTTTGAATGAACATTAAACCTCAATCTTTTAAATGGTGATTTAATAACGAATTCCACAAATAAACACAGTGTGGATTTATCTGAAGTGCAAATATCTGAAACTATATCAATAGAGTCAAATACAAACTAGTTGATCGCCATATTTTGATCCACATTTTTTCTACATTTTTGGATGTTGTGTTATTCACCTTAAATGGCACTGGTGTTTGCCCACACCTGTAATGATGATCACTGTAAAACTGCAGGGCTTTGATATAACAAAACTCTTGATAGTCGTACGCACAAACAAAAAAGTTATTCTGACCCTCGCCTTGTCATACCACATGAACAATGAGCAGCTGAAGTGCGTCTTTCCATTAGCCTGAAGACACAACTATCACTCCCTCTCCGTACATTAATACATACATTCCCCCGACTTTTGTTTCTTCCTCCGTGTTTAATGGCAGTGTCTGTTTGATGACTCTGCGTTAACACAATTTTCCAAAAAGCCAATTTGTTGGTTGTCAGCCAGAAACGGCTTTTTTTTCTCATTATTTGTCATGAAGCGATTTGTTCCTGTGAGTTTAGGGCTCTTTTCTGTTGATATGTGCGAGATTTTTCTTCCAGGGTAAACATAAAGACGGGATGAAGTAATTGGCTGCCAGTTTGCCATGAAAGGTTCACCAGATTGCCTGTCTGATCAACCACAGACTCCTTCAAAGCCCTAAATATTTGCAGTATTAAACATCAACATGGACTCACATACAGCACTTATACAGCAGCTAATTTGCTCTCATCTATGCAAACAAAGAGATACTCCTTGGATAACACGATTTGAGGGCATACTAACCATAGTAAACATCCTTACAACAGCATGAAATTTAGCACTGGGCAACACTTTTCTCTGGGGACAGCATGAAAAATAAAATTTGGTCTGATAAATAAATGTAGAGCCTGTGTATTTAAAGGCCTCTGGATGAGATTATTAGCAGCTCACACAGCGATTAAAGCCAACTTTAGAAGTCGCCAGCGGCTGTGTTCCCACTGCCTAATTGAAACCATTCCTTATTTACTCATCTCAACTAAGGGGATCAGAGAGCAAGCAAAGACGGTTTCATTTCCTACTTAATATCTACCGCCTCGTGAATCATGCGCACATGCAATAGCATCCCTCTGGGGAAAGGACAGGGTGTTCGTGTTGCACCAAAATGAAGAGGGAAGGGAAGAAAAAACTAAATCAAAGATCACAGAAGGATTAATTCCATTTCCAAAGGCAGCCAGCGGTGGATGGAGAAGGAAAAGGGAGGGAGTAGCAGAGGGGGGAAAGATGAATACGTTTAACCCATTTGCGATGGCGGCCTATTTCTTTGTGTTAATTCCTCCACGCCTTTTAATTTCTAAAGCTCCTGCATTGTGGCGCACTAGGACAGAGTGTGATTGAGAAATTTGGAGGAATATTTTTAGCAAAAGCGCTCACTTTCCCTGAGGGGACAGCATATGATTTTTTCTCCCCTTCATCCTCCTCTACTTCTTTCGTGGTTTCACAATGAACCTCTGGATTTGTGCCTGGGAGGAAAGGCTGGGATCTGAATCAGCTCTCTAGCTACATCACAGGAGCTGCCTCCTGATTGGCACTAGCAGGCTTGTTCCAGAAATCCCTTTTTCCTGTATTGCAGTCCTGATGATGTAGTGTAGCACGCTGAAAGCGTCACAGTGTTACAGCCTGAATGAAATGATGACAAGCTTTTGTTGAATTTGTCTGCCGGAGGAAGGAGTGGTTCTTCAATGTGAAAAGTGTGGGGAGTGACACATTCAATGCAAAAGAATTATTATAATCTAAAGAATTACAGTTGTAATATATTACAGATCAAATTAGAGATACAATCTGATGTTTCCTTTTTTTCAAAGCTTTTAAACAAAGACATTTGAAGGAACAGCCCAGTACAAGTATCAACTGTTAAGTTGTTAACCTTTTTCACCCCTCTTTGTTCAAATTTGACTGCTGTCTCTGTTTATTTGTCTCAAACAGCGTATGTACCGACTCTCTGGCAACATACACATCAACGGTATATGTGCGGAGTGTATCTGTGCATTGTTTATGTGACAGCTCAGCCTCTGATATTAAAACTTGCCAACAATGCCTCTTTCAGACACCTCTCCTTTTTCTTCTTAGTGCTCTATATTCAAAAAATTGGAGTCATAAAGCTTCAGATTAGTCCAAATGTTTCACTAAAATTGAAACTTTTTCAGGTCATCTGTGCTTCATCATACCAGATTACATGCGCAAAAAAATGCTTTGATGACTTCTTAGATAAATAATGTATAAAATATAAAGACACAATATGAAGGAGAAAATGCCATTGTGAATGTTAAGACATGCAGAATAATTAACATTAGATAGTAGAAAGCATGTATAATTATACATCGGCATCACTGTGTGTAGTAAATTAGTCACTAGACCAACAGATCCACGTGTTACTATCACACTAACACAAGAGCCTGTTAGCCAAATGTAGTAAATGACACAGATGTCATGCAGAACTGCTTTGCACACAATAACAAGACTTAAACATCAATCGAGCAACAACGCTCAGTATGTGTGAGAGTGCGTTGTTTCGTGTCAGGGGTTTAAATGTGGGATGGCTGACTGGCCTGAACAGATGCCTTTGTGTTGCGTTGTGGGAAAAACAACTGCACTGATTGTGTAAAGTTTTGCAGATTTCTGAGGCACATTCAGAAACTAATAACTAAAGATATTTTACACATAAGTTGCAATAGATCTAGAGTTTTGAGATTTTCAAATATTGATTAGACTGTATCAAAATACTTTGAAAGTATTGTTGGTGTCGCTGACTACCTGAGACAAAACACACAAATAACATGACTTGCATGGCTGCTCCACCCATACTCGCCCTCTCTCTGACCTCCTATTGAACTTCTGTACTTTGACTTTTCCCATGGATCTGTACATTTTGTTCTGTATAGTCTCATTGACTCTAATTAGCCAAAGTGGCATTTCCCATGTCTTGTGACAGCTCGCACAACCAGACCACCTCTCCCTCCCTCTCTCCCTGGTCTCTGGTTTTGCATTCATGTCTTTGCCTTGGCACTCTCCCACGCACCCCAGCTGTTTTGGCCTACAGTAAATGTCGCCTCATACAGCGCACTGCTGGGATCCCAGCCGTCATGCATGTGGGGCCAGGGCCATCTTGATCACGGCCTCTCTAACTTTCTCTCTCTTCCTCTCTGTTTTGACCTCACTGTCATTTCTTCCTCTGTGTTTCCTACCCTCTCTTTCCCATTATCAAGCTCCCCTTTTTCTAATCTAATTGCTCCCATTCCTGAACCTGAGCCACTCTCCCTTCCCCCACTCATTACCATACATCCTGATTGGCTGATGTTGCCTGACAGAAGCTGTTGTGTGGCTTGTTGTAACACAGCTGGTTGCTCCCTGAACCAGGCTGTCACCAGTGGCTGTCTGCTGCAGGTTTTCGTCCCTGAGGGAGGTGGTGGTGGGGGGGGGTAATGCTGAGGAAGAGCTTTGCACAGCAACTCCCTCCCTAACTTACTTTTTTAAAAACAGCTGGCCACTCACTGATTGCAGCTCATTAATGTCAGGCTCCTGTCCACTCTACTTGGACAGTTAGGTTGAGCTGAGAGGGAATCAAAGTAAGTGTCAGAATATAGATAGCTGCTGTGATACACAGCCTAAGCAATCAGCTCTGATTGGATTTTGATCCACTCTTATTAACTCCCAGATTGAGGGGATGGAGTGAAAAGTGTGATGCTAATTACCAAAACAAACTGGGAATGACTCTAAAATCAGTGTTGGTATCTGAATTGCAAATCTTCATGTGTGGTGTTTTTGGGGGGGAAAGCAATTTTCCTTCTTGTCTACCAGTTTGGTGTCATTAAACAATGTATGAAGTCAGGCAGGTTTAAAGCAGCAGAACCTTTCTACGATAATAAAGACCTCACGCATAAGTGAAATGAAAAATGCTAACTGCTGTGAAAAAGGACTGTCATTTACATCATTTGCATTGTATGACAGAAATAGTTCAGATACAAAGAACTGCAGTGAAAAATATTTCTCATGTGGTTTCTTTTCATCAGTTTACTTCAGCGTTACCTGAAACTGAATTCATTGGAAATTCTTTATCCACTGAGCTGCATTAATACTGGAACTATTAAATCTGCTAAATCTTTTTATGTATACTATATATATCACATTTCAGGTACAAAAAGGAAGAAAACACAAATTCAGACACTGGAAAAACAGAATTAAAGGGTCTTCAATAGAGGATATGGTAAAGATAACAGACACAGTCAGCAACAAGAAGGAAGGAGAGTGACTGGGATACTGTGTGTTGGGTCCATATCAGGGAACAAGGGACATGTGTGGGACAGCAAGACGATGGTTGTCAGGTTTGCAGAGAGGAGCAGGCTCAGGTGGCGTCTGAGGGCATCTGGTGGGCAGGTGGGGAATCATAAGGTCCGGAAAGGTCATTGAAAAGTCAGGTGTTACCAAGATTTTGTGAGGCTAAAGGGTAAGCAGACAGGTCAAATGGCATTATAAAGTGAATATCTATTTAAATACTCACTATTGACAGTTGAACGTGATTCACACTGCAGGAAATATAATTAAGAACAAATAACGAGTATGAACAAAAAAACAATTTGTCTTTTTCCTGAGAAAACTCTGTAACAGAAGTGACTGCTTCAGAGACTCAGCAGTGACCGCCACCATGGCTGACAGACAAGGAATAGAGAAAACTCAAATTTCATAAACAGAAATCCAAAGCAACAGTCCCGCTTCCTCTATTTTATAACCAAGGAACTGTTATTATCCAGAAAGTCCAATGCAAAACAGCACAGTCATTAGCAAGTGGCAGCTGGCAAGATGTGTCCAAATAACAGAATTCAAAGATCACACATTCAAGATGTGTGAATTCAAGATTCCACATGACACGCCTCACACGTTCTTTCCCTGTCTCTCAGGTGGGACGTCCACGCTGCGTCTCTCGTCGGTGCGGGAGCTGCCAGGCCAGCTGCAGGAGCTTTACCAGCAGGGCTTTGTTCTGGCAGCCGTTCACCCGTTCATCCACCCCTGTGGTCCAGAGTCAAACAGCCCACAGCACCAGCTCTACCGGGCCATTCTGGTCCGACTCAGTGACGGGTAAGAGCCACATGAGTGATTTTTGACTATTAAATGTGTGATCATCTGCCATGGGAATACAAAACAACCCAGCCTAAGCTATAGTTTCTTCAGAAAATTTAGTCGTTAAAGGCTTGCAGCAGTGACCTTTGTTTTCCAGTGAAATAATTTATGCAAAAGTATTATTAGTATTTTTTATTGCGTTGTCAGCTCAAGGAAGATTAAGGCCAAGCACAGTATATTTGGGATACTGGCACTGGCAAATTTACTGAAAAACACTCAGTTTAAATCAATTTACACCCTTGTTTGTAGGTCGCATGCACCCAAATGTTTATATGTTTCCTGCTGCATGAGTTCACTGACCTATACAGTTTTAAAGATTTAACAACTATCAGAAAAGTGAAAAATCCTAAATTACAACTTTTCCAGGACCAAAAGTTAACACAAAGGTGTATTTTTTACAGGAATAAGCCTCTCTGTCACCAGTGAGGTGGTAAGTAGGGAGGATTAAAGGGAGAGGGCCCTTATTAAAAGAAATGTATCTTACTAAACAAAGGCGGGGGCGGGCTCTGAGAAAATCGCCTTTCAGACCTCTTAGCTACACCCCTGAGAATAAGACAAAATAATGTAGCCATTATAGTCACTTAAGAAAATATGTTAAGATTACTAATGTACCTTAATTGGTGTCATTATGTAGAAAACACTTGATGGGAATCAGATTTTGCTTTTTCTTCATGTTTTGAATGGTACAAAAATGGTATGCTGGCTAGTTGGGGAGTGATATTAGTAACATTATATACTGAAATGATGATAAGATGAAGTGTTTAAAAAAAAAAAGTTTTTGTTTTATGAGAGATCTCCACAATGGTTACCACCTAAAAACACAATGGCGGTTCGTGTCAAATTTCATATCAGTCGTACAACCTTTCAGCATCTCAACATCTGTTTGTGGCTCAGCAAGCTGTCATGTGGGCAGCTGTATTTGGATGTGAGTCAGCAGTAATCTCAATGCTCTATCTCCAGCCCTTTCAATGATCTGGCCAAAACCGCCTGTATGGCCAGAAGTCACCCTGGCCCCCTACATCTGCCCTCCAGCCCTGTGCCTGAGCCTATCTGTCCTGGGAACTGTGGGGGTGGGCGCACGTTTCAGTTAAGGCAGGACGCCAGGGAGTGGCTCCAAGGGTGGTTGAAGGGCATTTTGGGGGAGTGATGGACCGTGTAGGGTGGAGGTTGCTTTCTGTTTGTTTAGAATCCATCTAAAAAATCACTTTCTCTGGACTTAAGCAGAAAAAAGTATTGTAGCGTTTGGGGAAATTTATCGTTGGTTTTAAATGAAGCTGATGGCCCCAGGGGTCATGAAACATGATGAGCTTATTCAGGACCATGTATAAGTTCAAGTAAAAACATATCAATCAAAAAGATTGAAGCTATGGGGAGAATATTTTTTCTCTGGCAGCAGTGACATGCAGACAGGCAAAGTCCAGCAGCTGAAGCCCCAGTGGCCGGTCTGTCTGGCTCTGAAGTCCAGAGAACAGGCCTGTTTACCAAAACACTGTTCCCTGGCTGCAGGGCATGGATGTGTGTGAGGGTGTGTGTCAGCTGTACGTGAGTGTGAGAGAGAGACATGCCTGTTTCTGAAGAGGTTAGAGATCCAGCACTTGAACCTTTTGTGAGCATACTAAAGCTTCCTGTGTTTACATTTCTCTTTGTGCATATAGCATGTAGCTTAATGTGAATGAGAGTGTGTGACATTGTACAGGATAAATTTCCTGAGTAGAATCCACCAGAAAACACATTTCTGAACGCAGACAACCCATTCTGTAATTTCTTCACTGCTGAGGGTAAACACAACACTACTGCTACTAATCTACATTGATATCTCAGTCCTTTAGCCAAAGCTCTCCCCCACAGCGACAGTACAATAACTGCAAAAAAACAATACCCGATATTACATGCAACCAAGAGTGAGGAGTGTAATAATCAGAGCTGCTGTGCCCTGACAGTTCTGCTGCAACCACAGACTGATCATCTAACAGAAGACATAAAAAAAAACACTAGAGAAAGACTCACTGTGGAAGAATTTTGTTGTTGTTGTTTTTGTCAGAAAAAATAATGGTAATGATAATGTTTGATCAGGGATATAATTCAGAAGGGAAATGGAAGATGACCGGAGGGAATTTGGTGAAAAGATGAATTTAAGATAAGATAAGATAAGATAAAATACCTCAGAGCTAAGTTATAACAGAAAATGTAAGGATTCAATGTAGAAGAAGAAAACAGAAGCAAAGGAAGCAATAAACAAAAACATAACAAAAGATAAGAGCAGTAAATACAGTATAACGCAGTTAAAAAGTAATAAATTAAAAGGGAAGTGATTAATTAAGTTTGTGCTAATGTATGCAGATGATAATTTAAATTCTTAGGTGCAGTGTGCAGAAATTGTGCCCTGAGGAAAAACTGTTCTCAAGTCAGCGCCAAGCTCCCTCGTCCCTGCTGGTGTTTGTTGTTTTCATCCCTTCAGAAGAAACCAGCCACTGCTTTTTCTTATCATACAATATGAGAAACAAACTCCACAGCATGAGATAATTTATCACTGCAAACATGACAACTTAATTTGGGTGTGTCAAACTTTCTGTTTTATCATTTTTCATTACAATTTTGCCAGAGTTGTTTTGTGCAAGGTGTTGTGATATGCCTTGCTTAGTGTCAATCACCTGACAGCAGCGGGAAGAAACAGTAGTCTGGAAAAATCTTTTGAAAACCTGTTGCTGTACAGTCTTACTCCTCACATCCAGGCCTTCTCATCTGAGGCTTCTTGGTTCATCAGGATTGGATGAAGTTTTTAAGGGGAGACACTACAGGTGAATAGAGTAAAAACTTCACCATGATACTTCCCCTGTTGATTACTTAAATTAAGACACTTGTTTTTTGCATTACAAGTTCTATCTCACACAGGCTCCACCCTCTACTGGACTCTATGGGTACTACCTCCTCCAATCACACGCACGCACTTGCCCACTGAAATTTTATCAGCCAACCAATAGGACGTTGCTACCGATACGTGCATGACGTATAAATAGCAGTGTCCCTACTGCCTCAGCATCCTTTTTTCTTCAGCAAACTGCTCACTGAATTCACCACCTCCACGGATGGAGTCGCCACTTCTAGAAAATGATCTTTGCACCCAGGTGAGGTGACCCATGTCCTGCCCGGACGAGTCCAGGCCCCCCGCGGCCCACGGCGCCCTCCCGGTCAGAACCGAGTGAGAGGCTGGGTGAGGCCCGGGCATCCACTTTCACGAGCCTGACCGCTGAGTCCGCGCGGCCATAATGGTCCACTTTCATGACGTGACAGCCGAGAAACGAGCTGTTCTTACTGTGGAAACTGGGCAATGCAGCAATCTACTGTAGCTCTGCATTCCCAGTGTGCCCACGAGGACTTGCATGGGCACGCTGCTAGCTCACCGGCGGTGAAAGCCTGTTACATAAACAGACACGCCGCCCTGCCAGAATCTCTTTCGCCGAGCGGTCACAGCACAGCTAGACTAGTCCGCTATAGCCGGAGAGAGACAGCCAAAGTCAGGTCTCTCGGTATAGCAGGACGAAAGAGATCACTCGCTGCTTCGGTTGCTTTCGTTTCCACCACGAGCGGCTCGTAGCGTCTGTTGCAGCAGGCGAGGCTGTCTACCTGCCACTGCTGTGGTGCGTTCAAGGCCCGGTCGGCCTTTTCCACTCCGGCCCTGGTGCGTTCTAAGACACCACTGCCGGTTCAACCTTTCGAAAACGGCCCATGGTGCGTTCAAGGACACCACAGCCTTTTTCGATTGCAGCCCTTGGACAAAGTCTAAGCCTTATTATTTTAAACAAAAATAGAAAAAGGGGTGACAGAGGGACAGAGGCTGATACACACCACCAGACCTCCTCTCTCCGTTATGTGTCCAGCATGCATTTATTTGTGTTTCATATGCTGGTGTGTACACACTGAAAATGCTGTGAATGTTCAACTGATTAAATGCAGTGCATTGCTAAAGAGCATTCTCCTCCCCATCGAACCCCCTCCATCTTCGGCTCGGTGCGTAACGCGCTTCAGTCTCCACAAAACTGCACGTTCACCAATGCTAAGCTAATGATCCGACCTACGGCCCACACTACTCTCCTTGCTAAGCTCGAGAGAGACAGTGGGAGGGCCCAGGTCTTTGCTGCGCTATTCAAACCACTGAGACAGAAGCCCATCCGAGCGAGACGGTAGTAGGACCTGGGCTTCCTCCTCGCTAGCCGGCTGTCCGGCCCGCGCAACCACATCGCAGCTGTGGTGCGTTCAAAGGCACCAGGGAGCAACCCTGCGTGGACACTTTAGCCCATTCGACGTCGCCCCCCTCCTTGGGCTAAACTTCCATTTATGGAAAGTTTGGCGGTGGAGAGTGCCAAAGATGCGTTGTTCACGTGTACACATTTTCATGCAGAATGGCGACGCCGTTGCATGCTGACAAGCTGGGTGGACAGCATTCTGAGACGAGGCTACTCTCTTCAGTTCTGCTGCATACCACCAGTTTTCCTGGACATAATGGAAGCCAGTCTACCCTCTCAAGAGGAAGTAGACTTCCTGGCTGCCGAGATCTAGCAACTTCTGCTGAAGCAGGCAGACATGCACAGAGGTCTTGCACCATGTACTTTTGGTCCCCAAAAAGACGAGAGGCTTCTGAGCCATTCTGGATCTCGGCCACCTGAACCAGCATAGTGGACAAGAGGGCGTTTCCACATGCTGACGATAAAGAAAGTGCTGGAGTCAGTGCAGCCCGGGAACTGGTTCACCACCATCGACCTGAAAGACGCCTATTTCATGTCGAGGTGACACAGTAACAGGGAATTTCTAGGCTTCTCCTCTCAGGGGGTAGCCTACAAATACATTAGGCTCCCCGTCAACTACTCGCTAGCCCCCCACACCCTCAGCAGATGCATCGCACTGCAATCGTTGCACGAGAAGGGCATGAGGGTTCCTTTCTATTCACAACCTCATGGTCA